AGATGACTAGTATATTTCATTTTGTATCAACATCTTAGGGCGCCTATGTGGCTCAGATGGTTAAGCGTCCGACTTGGGCTCAGGTCATTCTTGTGGTTCAGGAGTTTGAGCCTTCAGTCAGCCTCTGTGCTGACAGCTCAGAGACTGCAGACTGCTTTGTGGATTCTGTGTCTCCCTTTCTCTCTCTGCCCCACTTGTACTCTGTCTCTCTCTCTCTCAAAAATAAAAAAACATTAAAAAAAATAAAAACTAAATAAAAAAAAAAAGAGGCATGTAACATCTGAATGTCTCCCTATCAATGATGTGAAAAACTTACTAGATTATGGTGATGACAGATCTTTTCTCTTTTTTCCCCCAACTTTATTTATTTTTTTTATTATTTTTTTAAATTTTTTTTAACGTTTATTTATTTTTGAGACAGACAGAGACAGAGCATGAACGGAGGAGGGTCAGAGAGAGGGAGACACAGAATCTGAAACAGGCTCCAGGTTCTGAGCTGTCAGCACAGAACCCGACGCGGGGCTTGAACTCATGGACCATGAGATCATGACCTGAGCCGAAGTCAGCCACTTAACTGACTGAGCCACCCAGGCGCCCCTCCCCAACTTTATTTATGAATAGTTTTAAAGCACAGAAAAGTTGAAAGAACAGTACAATGAACACTAGGGTGCCTACCACCTAGACTGAATAATTGTTAAATTATTTTGCTAACTTTGTTTTATCAAAAATGTATAAAAATATTTTCTTGACAAACCATTTGAAAATAAATTGCAAACATCAAAAACTTTATCCTAAATATTTCAGAATGCATGATCTAAAAATAATTACATTCTCCTTTTATGATCATACCATTTTGACCCTATGAAATTTAGCAATTATTCCTTATTACCACCTAATATTTAATCCATAGCTAAATGTCCTTAATTGTCCTCTAAAGATTTTTTAAAGTTTTTTTTTTGTTGTTGTTTATTTATTTTTGAGACTGAGCGCACTTGGGGGAGGGGCAGAGAGAAAGGGAGATAAAGAATCCAAAGCAGGCTCCAGGCACTGAGCTGGAAGTCCAGAGCCCAATGCGGGGCTTGAACTCAAAAACCATGAGATCACAACCTGAGCTGAAGTTGGAAGTTGAATGACTGAACCACCCAGAAGCCCCAAGATTTTTTTTAAGTTTATTTATTTTGAGAGAGAGAGAGCATGAGCAGGGGAGGGGCAAAAAGAGAAGGAGAGAGTATCCCAAGCAGGCTCTGCACCATCAGCACTGAGCCCAACGTGGGGCTCAAAGACATGAACCATGAGATCATGACCTAGGCCGAAACCAAGAGCCAGACACTTAGTCAACTAAGTCACCTAGGTGCCCCCAAGGATCTTATATATATATTCTAAAGTTTATTTATTATTTATTTTGAAAGAGAGAGAGCACAAACTGGGCGGGGGGGAGAGTTGGGCAGAGAGAGAAAGAGAGAAAGAGAATCCCAAGCAGGCTTCACACTTGCCAGTGCAGAGCCTGGTGTGGAGCTCTAACCCATGAACCATGCGATCATGATCTGAGCTGAAATGAAGAGTTGGACACTTAACCAGCTGAACTACCCAGGTGCCGTGTGTGTGTGTGTGTGTGTGTGTGTGTGTGTGTGTGTGTGTGTATTTTCGAGACAGAAAGAGAGAACACAAGCAAGAGGCGAGCAGGCAGGGGACAGACAATCTGAATCGGGTTCTGAGCTGACAACAGCAATGCAGGGCTCAAACTCATGAACCATGAGATCATGACCTGAGCCAAAGTCAGATGTATAACCAACTGAGGCACCCAGGCACTCCCCTTTTTAAAACCAGGATCAAGTCACGATCTTGTGAGATTTGGTTAGGATGCTTTTGGTTGCTTTTAGTTAGATGCTTTAATTTTAGAGGTCTCTTTAGTCTCTTAATGTAGAAGTTCTTCCACATTTCCACTTTTTGTTTAATAATGACATTGACTTTTTGAAGAGATTAGGCCAGGTTAAAAATCTGTTAATAAAGTGCTTTACAACCTATTTGTTCGTTTGTTTTTGAGTAAATTAAAATTAAAGAATTGAGAAGCGCCTGGCTGGCTCAGTCAGTAGAACATGCAGTTCTTGATCTCAGGGTCATGAATTTGAGCCCCTTGTTGGATACAGAGATTACTAAAATAAATAAATTTTTAAAAATTTAAGAAGTGAGAATTTTACATTTTCTTTTAAAACTAGTACCTTATCGCAAAAACATAACTGGGAAATACTAACCTAAGGACTATTTGGTAGAGTGACCAAGCATTCCATTTTGCTCAGGACTAAGAAAGCTCCAGGATGCACAACTTTCAGTTATACAACCAGCAAAATCCTAGGCAAACAAAGATGAATTGTTACCCTACTCTCTGGTAATCCTTGGAAGGCACTTGTTGAGGAAATAGTTATATATAAGTGATTGGTTAAAATCATAATCTGGTTCTATTTTAATTATACAAAATGATTATTTAAACTTTTTGAACTAAACTGTCTGAAATGTGTATTAATTATGCATCTACATATAGGATATATGCTTAGGAAAATATCATAACTACAATTCTGTCTTGGGGCGTCTGGCTGGTCATTTGGTAGAGCATGTGACCTTTTTACAAAACATTCATTTTGTAATTTTTGAGGGAGAGAGAGAATGTGCATGCATGAACAGGAGAGGGGCAGAGAGAGAAGGGGACAGTGGATCCAAAGTAGGCTCTGTGCTGACAGCAGAGAGCCTCATGTGGGGAACTAACTCAGGAACCATGAGATTATGACCTGAGCCTAAGTCAAACACTTCACAGTCTGAGCCATCCAGGCATCCCAGGCATATAACTCTTGATCTCAGGGTCATGAGTTCAAGCCCCATACAAAGCTTAATTTAAAAATAAATTCCACGTCTTACTTCTCCAACTTAAAAAATAATAATAATACAGCAACATCTTTTATCAGTCTCCTATTACTTAATGTTACATCATTGTCAAAATCATACCATAAACTGACAGCCATTGCAGTACTCTGAGCTCTATAGAGACAGGACTAGGGCAAGTAAGAACCAGAAGGGCAATGTGTGACTCTGTGTCACACTGGAAAAAAAAAAAAAACTAAAATGGGCAAAGAAGATCCTAAGAGGCTGAGAAGCAAAATGTCATCATATGTACTCTTTGTCCAAACTTGCCAGGAGGAACACATGAAGCAACCAGATGCTTCAGTCACCTTCTCAGTTTTACAAAAGCACTCAGAGATGTGGAAGACCATGTGTGATAAAGAGAAAGGTAACTTTGAAGACATGGCAAATACAGACAAGGCAGTTATAAAAGAAATGAAAACCTATATTCCTCCAAAAGGGGAAACAAAATGAAGGTCAAGGATCCCAATGTACTGAAGAAATCACCTTCAATCTTTTTGTTTTTGAGTACTGGCCCAACTCCAAGGAGAACACCCTGGCCTATGCATTAGTGATGCTGCAAAGAAACAGGGAGAGATGTAGAGTAACACGGCTGCAGAGCACAAGCAGTCTTAGGAAAAGAAGGCTGCTAAGTTGAGGAAAATTACATAAATCAGATTGCTGCAATACCAAAATATGAAAACAAGCCTATGTGGCAAAACAAAAAAAGTCATCAAGGCTGAAAACAAGAAAAAGAAGGAAGAGAAGAAAGATGGAAAGGACGAAGAGGATGATAATGAATACGTTAGTACTACTTTTGTTCTTGTCTGTAAAGTATTTAAACTCCCTGTACACAATTCACCCATTTGGAAGAAAAAAGGGGTGAAATCTAAGGCTGCATGAAACTTGTTTTTAAACTGTACAGTTTCAGGGTGCCAGAGTGGCTCAGTCAGTTAAGCTCAGGTCATGATCTCGTGGTCAGTGGGTTCCAGCCCCACATCTGGCTCTGTGCTGACAGCTCAGAGACTGAAGCCTGATTTAGACCGTGTCTCCCTGCCCCTCCCCTGCTCATGCTTATGCTCATGCTCTGTCTCTCTCTCTGTGTGTCTCCTTCTCTCTCTGCCCCTCCCCTGCTCATGCTCTCTCTTTTTCTCAAAAATAAACATTTAAAAAAATTAAAATGTACAGTTTCAGGGTGCCTGGGTGGCTCAGCTGGTTAAGTATCCAACTCTTGATTTTGGCTTAGGTCATGATCCCAGGGTGATGGGATCCAGCCCTCTGTGCCGAGTGTGGAGTTTGTTTAACGTTCTCTCTCTCACTCCCTCTCTCTCTCTCTTCCTCTGCCCCTCTCCATGGCTTGCGTGCTATCTCTAAAAATAAATAAACTGTACAGTATCTTCTTTTGTATAGTTAAAACACTATCAAAAGTATCTTTACCTAGTCTTGTCCTAGTGGCATTTTCAGCAGCCACTACCTTTGCTGAGTACAGTGTGGGAATGTAAAATAGCATGGAAATTTAAGAAAGGTTCTTTTTGGCACACAACATGAAGTAGTTATACATGGGGATGAGAGTCTTTTCATCTTCAGTTGTTTCTAATCCATCTTATTTTTTTTTAATGTATATTTATTTATTTTTGAGGGAGGTACACAGAAAGAGAGAGAATCCCAAGCAGGCTCCATGCAGCCAGTACAGAGTCTAGCTTGGGGCTTGAACTCACGGACTGCGAGACCAAACTGAGCGGAAATCAAGAGCTGGTTGCTTACCGAATGAGCCACCCCAGTGCCCCTCTAATGCATCTTATATGAATTAATTGTTCTCTTAATTGCAGAGTACCAGTCTGCAATTGCAAAACACTTAGAATTGCTTCATTAACATTCTAAATACTTCTAGATAAAATCAATTTTCTTATTAGAAAACAAAAACCATACCCTAAACCTGTATTTTACCTTAATGTTATCTTATGCACAAAACACATTCTTTTAAAACTTATAAAGACAATTTATTTCACATGCAGTTACTTAAACCCTTAGGAAGGTTTGTTTCTTTTATAGTAGAAGCGTGTCTTTTACATTAAGATAGTGATTTGTCCTTGGGGAACTTTATTTTACTAAAGTTCTTCTGCAGTTGGATTGTGACAAAGCTTTGGTTTGTTGGGATTATTTTTCAGCAGCCAATCAGCTAGCCAAATCTATGGAAAAAAGAAAAAAACTCTTAAGTTAATAAACATTTAATTATAAATACTATAAATAACAAATACTACGAATAGTATAAATATACTATATAAACATACACTACAAATAATATAAATATGTACTATAGCAATTTATTTGTTGTTAAGTAGGCTTCACGCCCAGTGCAGAGTCCAACATGGGGTTCCAACTCACAACCATGAGATCAAGACCTGAGTGGAGATCAAGAGTCAGATGCTCTTTTGCTAAGTTTATTTATTTATTTTGAGAGAGAGAGAGAGAATAACCATGTGCACATGTGAATGGGGGAAGGGGCAGAGAGAGAGGGAGAGAGAGAATCCCAAGCAGGCTCTGCACTGTCAGCACAGAGCCCTACATAGGGCTGAAACTCATGAACCGTGAGATCATGACCTGAGCTGAAACCAAAATGAATAGATCTTAGCAAGCCCGTGGGGAAGGCACCCACATGCCTATATCAATTTAAAACCTAGTACTATATCAATTTAAAACCTAGCTTTCAAAATCACTCTAAGAATGAGAAAATGACTACTAAAAAATTAAAACATTAAGTTTTATATTATGCAAGATTATCAAGTAGAGATCCAAACTGGCAAAGAAGTAAAACTATTTCCTTTTACAGGTGACATAATCCTATATATAGAAAATCCCAAAGAATCCACAAGAAAGTTACTACAACTAATAAATGAATTTGGTCATTGTTGAATCCAGACAAGATGACTTCAAAGACCATGTTTAGTAAATGGAACCAGAGGTATCTTTTTCTTTTCTTTACATTGTTCAGTAGTTTCAGGTTTCTTACTAAATAAACAGATGTTATTGTCACAATGAAAAGGAATTATTAAAGAAATAACCTAGGGGTGCCTAGGTGGCTCAGGTGGTTTGAGTGTTGGACTCTTAATTTTGGCTCAGGTCATGATCTCACAGTTCATGGGATAGACCCCCATCAGGCTCTGCGCTGCCAGCACAGATCCTGCTTGGGATTCTCTCTGTCCTTCTTTCTCTGCCCCTCTCCTGTGCACATGTGCATACACTCTCTCTCTTAAAATAAGTAAACATTTAAAAAAAGTAAAATGTCCTGCCTAGGGGCACCTGGTTGGCTTAGTCGATAGAGTGTGTGACTCTTGATCTCAAGGGTCGTAAGTTCAAGCCCTACGTTGGATGTAGAGATTACTTAAAATAAGTAAATATAATATAATAAAAAAAGAAATATCGTTTGTTTTTTGTAAAAGTGACAAAATTAGTAGGAGAAATTAAATCTTTGTCTTCCAAAGGGGATTCCCTTTGAGAATGGTAACAGAGGCTAGAGATAACTAGTTTATCAGGGCTGGTATTGAAATAACCTTCCCAGGGGCACCTGGGTGGCTCAGTCAGTTAAGTGTCTGACTTTGGCTCAGGTCAAGATCTTGCACTCCATGAGTTTGAGCCCCGTGTCAACACAGAACCAGGAGCCTGCTTTGGATTCTGTCTCTGTCTCCCTCTGCCCCTCCCCCACTCATACTCTGTCTCTCACTCTCAAAAATAAAATATACATTAAAATTTTTTTTTTAATTTTTAAAAATGTTTTTATTTATTTTTGATACACAGAGAGACAGAGCATGAGCAGGGGAGGGGCAGAGAGAGAGGGAGACACAGAATCTGAAGCAGGCTCCAGGCTCTGAGTTGTCAGCACAGAGCCCGATGCAGGACTCGAACTCACAAGCTGTGAGATCATGACCTAAGCTGAAGTCAGACTCCCAACGGACTGAGGCACCCAGGTGCCCCCCAAAATATTTTTTAAATAACCTTTCCTGAGTTGCCTGGAGGGCTCAGTGGTAAGATCATGCCACTCTTGATCTTGGGGTTGTGAGTTCAAGCCCCACGTTGGGCACAGAGCTTACTTTAAAAAAATAAACACAGGGGTGCCTGGGTGGCTCAGTTGGTTAAGCGTCTGACTTCGGCTCAGGTCATGATCTTATAGTCTGTGAGTTCAAGCCCTGCGTGGGGCTCTGTGCTGACAGCTCAGAGCCTGGAGCCTGCTTCACATCCTGTGTCTCCCTCTCTCTCTGCCCCTTCCCTGCTCATGCTCTGTCTCTGTCTCAAAAATAAAATAAACATTAAAAAAAAAAATTAAAAAAATTAAAAAAAATAAATAAACACAGTAAAATAACCTTTCCTCATTATCTCTGAGTCTTCAAATGAGTGAGAGTACCTGTAAAGAAGGAACCAGGAAGACATTTGGCCCTTGACAAGCACCCTAGTTCCTCCTATCCAACCATTCTTTCACCTGACTGAGCAGTAATGAAGTATCTAGGGATGTGAACAAATATAAATTTTCTAAGGGTGCCTGGGTGGCTCAGTTGGTCCGACTCTTAGTTTCAGCTCAGGTTATGATCTTAAAATTTATGGGTTTGATCAAGCCCTGGGTCAGGCTCCATGCTGACAGCACAGAGCCTGCTTGGGATTCTCTCTCCCTCTCTACTTCCCCCCACTAGCTCTGTCTCTCTTTCAAAATAAATAAATAAACATTAAAAAAAGTTTTCTATGAAAAAAAGTTAGATATCATTAAAAATAAAAATGTTGAGAGGCATTTGGGTGGCTCAGTTGGTTAAGCATCCGACTCTTGATCTCAGCTCAGGTATCGATCTCAGGGTCATGAGTTCAAGTCCCACGTTGGGCTCCCTGCTGGGCACGAAGCCTACTTTAAAAAAAATAATTTAAAAAATAATTTTGAATGTATTTAAATATATATCTAATTTTATCATGTGATTATATAAATCATACACAAAAACAATGCTCTGTAATTAAAGGATGCAGTATTGAAAATGTATTTAGAAACAATGTTTTTTCTTTGTTTTGTTGGAACAATTTTTTAAAAATTTTTTTATTATTTTTTTTAATGTTTACTTATTTCTGAGATACAGAGAAGCAGAGCATGAGTGGGGGAGCAGCAGAGAGAGAGGGAGACACACAATCAGAAGCAGGCTCCAGGC